CGCCTGAGGGGCGCGCTGAGGTGCAGACGGCGCTGGGACCGGGGCGCCGTCGCGGTTACCAGCCACCCAGGCACAAAGAGGGTACTCGGTGGAGCTACGTGCGTTTTACTACGTTCCCTCCGTCATGCCTGAAGAATTGCATCACCGGAGCTTAGGGCAAAAAAGACGTGGAAGTTAATCGTCAGGGCGCTTTGCAGTGTAAATGCGGTGGAGCCATTAGCTCAGCCATTAAGCGTACAGCCGTCTCCCAAAACCCATTAAGTAGAACATTCACAGCACATCAGTAAATGAATCACTGATGAATCCAGATCACTTATTGCCTAGAGATAGACATTCGTGTGTCATTGCTAAGCTCCGTGTCATCCTACTGCACAGTAAGTATCACCATTCTGGAAAACAAAATTAAGACCATTGCCAGTGCCCCAGTAAAACTTCACTACGGAGTTACGGTGCTTAGATCCCTAGCTATAACCCGCAAATAAACTGTTTAAGAAACATACATGATTTTGTCACGCATCACTACCAAATTTAGAAAACAAAGTGCTAGCACTGAGCAGCATGACAAGGTCTTACGTTAAGAAAATTTTAATTTTCAATCTCGTGCATCAATGAGCGATGACTCCTTTCCAGTGGGTTTCTTTTTTTTTTTTCATGCTGTTCCCAAAAGGGCATAGGGGAAAGCCACAGCCATATTTACCCAGGAAAGTTTTGTTACTTAAAGCAATACAGTGGCACAGATGCAGTTACACTATCAAGTCTCTGTCTAGAAATCCTTATTCCATTATAATACAGTTCCAGCCAGGGATTTATTGCTTCTTGGAAGAAGCTGAGAATGCAGCTCAGTCTCTTAGCGAGAAGGGTGCATTTAGCAATTAGTTTGTACCCTGCACAAAGACACTCTAGACCACTCTTCCACATCCCAGATGCCTTCACATCCTACTTCCTCTTCCCTCCCTGCTTCCATTATCTGATATATTGCCATTTTCTCTATCTCTCTAGTAATAGGACTAGATGGACTCAAGATAATTTCAGTTGGGGAAAAGTAATGTAAGTGTTCCTGAGCTGTCTCTGGCTCAGAAGAGAGAGAGACATCCACATCATATCTAACTGATTTGCAGTAAGGCATCGCTGCGTGGAAGAATCTTGCTACAGATGAATGATGTCAGCTCCAGTGCTGGAAACAGGCCCAGTCCACTGCCAGCATCTCCTAGCAGACCAAATGAAACACACAATTTCCAAATAAAAAGTTGTAAGACAAACTTGTTTCATACCTGTTTTATTTTTCTGAAGTGAACTGAGACAAAGGAACTATACAGTTTGATTACAGAATACCCTTAAAGGTCTTAAAAAAAAATGTAGAAAACGTACTGACCAAGAGTAAACCGTGAAAGTTTTTCTGCCAATTTTTCTGCCACTCCCAGATGTGAGCAAGTCCTGTAGTTTCAAAGAAGAGACCTATTTAAATACTGCTGGTCTAGTACTCCCTGTGGAGAGGCAAAAAAAACCCCATAACATAACCCCAAAAAACCAACACACATTTCCCCTAACAATATTTAAAAGAAACACACAGATACTTCGTAAGCATCTAGTTACACCTATTCACATCCAAAGAAAAACCGCTCCAACAGGTGTTGGTTCATAGCCATACGGAGACGCCACGTCCCTTGCAACCTGGCTTCATTACTATTAACACATTTGCAGCCTGATGCCCAGATTGTTTTTGGACACCAGTCTGGCTGGGACAGGGACCATTACCTTTTCCCTTCTTCCTTACTTCATCAGCACTCATAGCCACAGCCCCAAGAACAAAACCTTCCTTATACTCGAATCAGGTGTTCCCCACCCTGCCTGAAGCATTTAAATGGCAAAACATGCAGTATTTTTTATGCATTTAAATACATAAATGTGTATAAAGTCAGAATGTCAAAAGCGAGGAATTTTCAACAGTCCTGTGCTTGCAAGTCAAATATAGTGATATGCCAAGAAATATATCTTCCAAGACTCAGGCATGGCATGCATTAATTTTATCATATGGTGGAATAGTACTATCAATTGGTAAAGCTCCTCCAGTACCAGCCAAAGCAAGTGTACTGGAAATAAACTGGTTTTGCCTTCATATCTTATTTTGCTTGGGGTGGGAATGCTATGCCTCTTTTAAGCTAATTTAATTGCTTCCCCCTCCCCTTTAAACCACACCACAGTAGTGGTGCTACACAGCCTTATCTACACAAGTTTGATACAGTAGTGCTGACAAACAACAGTGGTGTGCAACTTTCAGCAGGAAAAAAAATCATCCTGAAATAACTCTCACTTGGCAGAAAAGTCCTTTTAATTAGTACACCTTGTGCTGGTTTGCCAGCATAGTGGTTGATTAGGGTGGGATCTTTTTCCCTCTCCTATGAAAGACTGTTGTATAGATATGCCAATAGACTTAGCCTATATAGAAACCAAACCTACATGGGTTGGCCAGAAGGTGTTTTAATTTTTCTAAGCAAATCCTTTCTAATCTCAACGAACAGGCATTTTATAAGCTCCTCTGTTTATATATCTGGATTGGATGAGAGTTTTACATACCTACAACAGGTAACAAAAGAACCAATACAATTTAAGACATTGGTCTGATAACAATGTATGAAAAACAAAAGTCACTGTTTTAAAATCAAAAATAGCTGTTGGGAACAAAAAAGAGTCTCAAATTTCCTTGGAAAGAAAGGCCATCATTACTGCCATTCAACAACAGGTTTACCTGCCATTGTAAAGAAAGGACCTTTTGCTTGACACTTCTGCGTGGGAAATAGCCCTTTTCTTCATACGGGTATCTTCAAATACCCAGTCTAAGCTCATCATGTCATCTGGATCAGAAGTTAAGATTTGTACACCCAGCTTGAAGTCGGTTTAAGGTTCTTCCACAGATTTACCACTTAATTTTCAAGCTTTTCTTGACAAAGTACAGCCTGACTGTATAATGATGTAATTTGAGACACCGCTTTATTTGTAGGGAAGCAATCCTCCCCATCATCATCATCTCTGTAGTTTCCATCCTTCTGTGGATGGTTTCTCTCTTTTAATTCCATGACTGGTCTGATCAAAAGGCCATCCCCATTCATTCTGTAGTCTTTTATTGCTTTTTCCCTTCTAAGTTTTTGGATGTCTGCCAGCTGACGCAACTCCTCTGGCAGCTCCATGCAAGTGGGCTGATAAGGAAAAAAAGAAAAGAAACAGAAAAGTAATCAAAACAATACATATGCAAACACATGCCCTACTTTTGTTAGTACCAGATAAGAGTGGCTTCTGTAATTAGCCAATGGAATAGAACAATCATCTCATTATATCCGTGGAATGTATCCACTACCTGCTTACACAAAGAATACCTCAGGGGAAGAGAGTTCCCCCACACTTTCTTTTAAAGGCAACCCAAAGGGAAAAATATTAGACTTGCATGTGATGTTTTCACCTTTATTATGAAGATCTTCAAGATTTAAGTAATACCGCAAACAGGTAATTAAATGTCTCTTGAAAAACCTTTTGCACTATGAAGTTGTTGTAAACCCCAAAAAGAGGCATAACCAGTTCATGTTTGCCTGTAGGAGCCACTGCAAAGGCAGCTTTCCTGGCTTTTCATTTCAAGTCATGGTATTCGATCCTACAAGCAAAAAAACCCTTATGTGGAAAAAGCCAACATAGTTAAATCAATGAAACAGCTGCTTAGGAAGTGTGTGAAAGAGATACACTCCTTAATTTGGTCCTGAGCAGCACATAGGACACTCTTCAAAATACTATATTCAAGGATCTCCTCCTTAACAAGGACTGCAACGCTCACCATCTTTATAGGAACAAAAACCAAAAACTCCAGTTGCATCCATCTGCAGAAAGGGGAATTATGCAAATAAGGAAGCTTGAATAAAAAAGCAGTAAGAGGCAGCCAAGCAAATTCAATCCTAGCAGGTAGGATGGATACAACTTCAAGACAGTATACAAGCAGCACAGAGTAAACATTACCCAACAGCAAAAAAATCACAGAAAGAGTGAAAGGAAACTGGCAGGACTACAGGTTAGGGAAATGGAGACTATGAACGAAGCATCCTTCAGGAAAACAAAGCCACATCCCGGTGAAGAAAATGGTAAGGATGAAGTTACAGAAAAAAAACCAAAGGGCAGACCAGAATAATTCTATTATTATTTAACGAAAATATAACAGAACTAAAAAAATTTATTTAAACATGAGAGGAGCACAAAATGTCAACCATGCTGCAGGGCCAAGTGATGATCAGAATACAAAAGCAGCATTGTAAAAACCACAACATTTTTTTTCTCTTCTACATTCAGCATGAAAAAAAAGGGGAGATTCCCATACCAAAAACATTCTTTATATACCCCGAATCTGTTTCGGATTGTCCCATGAACACTTAATACTGATACTTAAAATACAAACAGCAAGGTGGATTTCACCCAACATTCCTGAACACTGGAAGATGAAAAAGCTGAACTAGTAACTATCGTATCTTGCTTAAAACCTGCCTTGATACCCAGGGATTGGAAGATAATAAATGTTTAAGGAAGGTCTCAGGAAAGATACAGAAAGCAACATGCTGGTAAGTATGAACATACTGGTAGAAACACTAAGAATGAGTGGATATACAGATGTGATGCAGTGGAAGAAAGAGTTACCGCAGCTTTTGTTAAAGGAAGCCATGCCTCACAAAACTTAGGTCTACAAGTTTGCAAAGATCCAGAGGAAGACTAAATAGTTCAGATAGGATTACAGAAAAAAGCAGAGCAAGCACTTACTTGAGAACACCCACCTTCAGTTCTGTTTAACCAGAAGAAGCTGGATGTACATTCTTAACTGCTACAGTATCCTACAGTGAGAGGTGACCCTAAACCATTTAAAGCTAAATTGCATGAAAATTCAGGCTGTATGTTCATAATAATTAATATGCATTGTGTGCAGTCAGATCTCACCTGCCAATTAGGAAAAGTTCTGTCTCAGGCACGCAGTTAGATTTAGACAGAGACAGAGTTTATGCCATCATGTGTCATGAACATGTTATCCGGTATTATATACTGCATTGCACCTTATCTACTGCAGCTTTACCTTAAGTGCATCGGGAAATCAACTTTGTTGCACAGGGGTGTGCAACTCCCCTGTGAACTGTCACCACTCCAACAAGAAAGTGCCGCACTTCTAGGAGAACATTTGCTTCTTTATACTGATGAGTTCCCACGCTGCGTTTGCTTCTTTGAATCTAAGTCCTAAACATCAGAATGCAGCTGCATTTCCAAGTACTTAACAGCACACAATATGAATCCACAAGAAGAGTTAGAAATGTAGCACATACAGCTCCCTCCTTTACTAGCTCTTTTCTAGTGACAGAGCTGCAGAGGCACGGAAAACTACTTTACTTAATGCCTGCAGCCACAAGAAGAAAAATTACTCCTGGCACAGTTAGCTGACAACACAGGAAACTGCAGAGACCTTCAGGGTGAGAAGTTTGTGCTGAGTTCTCCCCCTCGGTGGTAAGGAAGATTATCAGTTTGAGAAAGATGCTGAAGAGGGAAGCTGAGGGTTTTGATAATAAAGTGCTGGGGATCAGAGGTCACTGTTTTGCATCTGGTTTGTGGGTAAAAAGCCAGTTACCTAGGAGGGACTGTCCACTATTCAGAAGACTCAACTACTATCTGCAGAAACAAGAAACCATAGAAAGTGTCGACATGTATTTTCAAAACTGTGAGGCTCAATGAGATGCCTTTTTTTCTTTTTTTTCCCCCCTCCATTCTCCTCTTTGTTCTCTTCTCCCAGTATCATTTTTGTCTGCTGTGGACTACTGGCTATACTTCACCATTGCTAGCAACTGCTAGGATGCATGACACCCATCTTTTCCACAGCTCTTCCCTGAAGGAAGCTTTAAGTCATGGAGTGGCACGCTATCAAGTTGCATCCTGCCACTATGTCTCCCACTTGGTGTACCAGCACATGGGCCAGCTCTTCAGTTCCTCTTCTGTTACTGCTGAAACAACTATCAAATGACAAAAGAACATGTTTGGCTGTCCAGCAGCAAGGTAGGTAGGTAGTCTTGCTGCAAGGACTGCCCACTAGCTGACCACAGCACTCTGCTTTTTTGCTATTTCCAGCAAAATATCTGAAAGATCAAGGGGAAGAAAAGACAGCTGAAACCTCAGGCAAAACCAGGACTACCACCAGTGACTGCTGCAATTGCTCATGAGAATTATGACATCCAAGTCAAAGACTCAAACATAATATTTGCACGAAATACCTTACTGCTGCTTGCTCTGCCCTTGCCAGTTTATTGCTATGAAAGCAATAAACTGTCATTAATCTCCATTTCTACCAGCTTATCTGTGCCCTCTGACAACCTAGGACTTTGTTCCCATCAAATTATTTATGAAAATTTTTCAAGGGAAAGTACAAGCTTCTGTTGAAATAAGCTGGAACAAAACCCCCCACCAGTCATGCATGTTCAAGAAATGAAGCAAAATTAGTCGTAAGTACACGCAATTATGCATGTCTGAAATTAAGCACTCCTGAACATTGAATAGCCGTTGAATCCTGAATATTGAAGGCCATAAGGATGATCTGACCCTAGTAGGTGCTGTGCATTTAGCCAGAAAGTGATTCTTGTATTCTGCCATTAATGGGCACCTTAACAGGCACATACAGAAAATTCTCACTGAGGAACAAGACATGCATGTGGAAAACTGACTGCAGAGACTGGGCATACAGAGCCCAAGGAAGGGTGGTAACAATTACATTAATTACATTCACACTTTTCTCAACTCTCAGTGGATGCAGTGATCCATAAGGGCTTGGTTTTTACTCCATGATTATGCATATTTGCTTTTCCTTGCTGCTACTTCCAAGAGGTGAAAAACCCACAGTCTGGTTCAGATCTACTCCCAGAGGCTGAACCCCCTGATTCGACAGGAGAAGGAGAAAGCAGGTAACTGCCCCAGTAGTCATCATTCAACATTACTTGTCATTACTCAGCGTTATTCAGTTCACAGGCAACCTCAGACTGCAAAGCCAAAGCATCTTTTTCACCAAACATATCCTGATATTGTTACTACATGCAAAAGCTGTTGGCATTATGAACTTCTAGATGTGGCAGTGACCCAGGAAAGATTAGGAAGATGCTACCATGCTCGTCCAAGCTGAAGTTCAATGTTGTAAATCTTGATCCAGCAACTGAGATTCAACATGTGACAGCCGGAGATGGGAAGGAATGTGGCTATGTATACCATCCAGCTTCAGTACTTCATTTTTAATGAAGTCTCATGATTGAAACTGTGTCTGTGTCTGCATAGTTTTACATATACAGTTTCCATGGGAGTGTTTTAAGTTTGGGAGAATGGGAGAGGAAAAAAAGCATTCTTCTGTGTGACATGATGTCATTTAAGATCAGAGGAACCAAGAGCAGGACAGGGAAGCATGGACCTGTTCATTGCTCTAGTCAGGTATGACATACTCAAACACCTTTGTAGCCCAGAGGCACAACAGAAGGCACGTCTGCATTACTAACTTTCCTTTTGTCAAAAGGCTGAAGACCTGGTGGTTCAGTCCAGAAAGCACAATCCAAGAACAGAACGGAGAAAGGCCCAGAGAGGCTTCCTTACCCGGAGCAATGGAAGTCAGTCAGTTTCCTGATCTGGTCATCTCCAAGTGCCTGTAAATCAAAGAGGCCATGGTAACTCAGACTCTCTTGCCTAGTGGCTTTCACTCACGTAACTTTCAAGTAAAGGCCTGATGTACCACAGATGGTTCCTGTTCACTCATGAATTATGTCCACCTTCCAATTTAGAAGCTGAAGTAGTGTGAGATCTCTTTATAGCTCTGCAGCATTTATTGTCTTTGGCTTTGCTACAGTCCTGCTTCAGCAGCAGAGGCCTCTCTTCCAGTTCTCCAGCATGGAGAGAAAATAGTAGATAACGTATTTCAGGTTTCCACAATGTTTCCCTGACATGAGTATTTACTTCAGAATCCAAGGAGATCCATTACTTCTGCTGAAATAGTGTTGGAACTGCACCAGATCATGTCTGGAGAACTCAGTCATCAAGCATAGGGACTTCAGTGTTGCTGTTGCAAACTGGCTCCAAGATGAAGTCAAGCTCATTGTGCCAGACCACATGTTCATCAAAGGTCCAAGGTAGAGTACAAGTTTAAATTTTAACCGATCAGGGTAAAAGGCAAAATAGTCCAGTAGAAGCATTTTCAAGGTAACTTTTCAACTGTAACTCCACAAAGTGCACAGAAGGCATAACAGTCCTCAGTGATCTATAACTTTAATTCTAAATATCCATGAAAAAGCACTAGAAAAAATATGGTGGGGGGTAAGTATCTTGACTATTACTGCATTCTGAGAATCAGATCTGAATAAAGGCTTTTTGATTCAAGGAATTAATACAGACTTAGCCAGAAAACCTAGAAGTTACACAAATGAGGCTTTCTTTTTTCTTTCATGTTTTCCTTAAAACAGATTTAGCTGAACTCATCAATTTGCAAAGGATTCCCTTGAAGTTAACTTTGTTTACTTACTTGGCGAAGAAACTGAAGTAACAGACCAGATTGAACTAAATGAAACTCCATATTTGGAGTTTAAATATGTATTGCAAGCAGATTTTAAATAAAGTAGAAGAAACTTTCATTTGTGTGATCTTGCAAGATATAGAAACAATAGAAAATGATTAACAGTGAAATGATAGTGAAAATGGTTGCTTTTACTATCCATGTGACAAGAGTTCCAAAGTAACTGCAAGAAGCATGATTATCAGGTGTGATATTAAACAGATCTTCAAAATGCCACTTGAAACACTGAGGATCAGATTAATTCCTTGGCTAATCTTATGGAATAAATGGATTTACAAAAGCATTGGCTTCAGCAACCTGAGTACCACTTAAAAAAAAAATCTATAAAAAAAAATAGCCCAATACAAACCAGTATTTGTACTCTTTTCATTTTAACAGACTGTTCTTTTCCCTTGTGTCATGCGTACTTTTGCATGCATTTCACATTGGTAATTCAGATATCAAGCTCATTTTTTTCCATGAACTATGAACAACCTTTTTTTTTTTTGGCAGCTCTCCTCCAAAAAGAAAAGGTTTTCAGATATGAACTCTTCTTTCCCATCTGTGAAGCAGCTATGACCTCTTGTGGTTATCTAAACTAATCTCCTTCTAAATCCTCAATAATGGGATTTACTGCTTCGAGCCTTTAAGTAATTCCCAAATGATACAAGTCTGTGCTTGAGTGCTTTGTTAAATCTGGGCAAAGAAAAAGACAATTTCTTCCATGAAGACAGACCTACATTCTCTTTTTCTAATAAATATTTCACAACACTTACAACTGCAAACATGAGGTGGTAACAGGACTTAATCATGACTCAATCTTTGTGATGAATGAGGATGTTTGACCATTCACTTCTCACTCAGATTTAATACTAGGAGTATCTTACACAGTTATGGTCAGCCCTCTTAAGATTACTTCCTTGAGAAGACAGAAAAAGTCCACACCAGTACCACTGGTTGTTTGGTTTGCATGGACCTGTTCTTTCCGTTAGTGCAGGAAATTATGCTCCTTAACCAAAAATTAAACCACTTAAAAATTAAACCACTTAAAAATTGACAAGCAATTACAGAAGTGTCCACCATACAAGAGCCACTCCAAGGTATCTGGGCATGCAACACCCTCTGTTCTACGTAAGCAAAGATGAGAAGCGTTACTTTTTTTTTAAGATCACACAGGTGAGAATAAATTAGGAAGACAAGATTTAACTCAGAGATGTTTCTCCAGAAATAAAAAACTTTGGCCTGCAAGAGACCACACGTCACAGAAACAGTCATTATATGCAAAAAAGCTCAGCAGTAAAGATGACCGAATAGAAGAAAAAAGTAAAATAGAACCAGATTTGGGGACTAAATGCTTTTACCAAACCAAAGCAACTCTGGCAGCTCCAGGGACCAACACTTCACAACTGCCTGTCCCTCTTCATGCCCTTGCACATACACCGACTCCATTGAGCCCAGACATTCTCAGTCTCAGATTAGACTGAACAGAAGGGGGTTACAGCATTGGTGGATAAGAGAAGAACAACTGACTTCATCTACCTGGACTTTTGCAAAGCATTTGACACTGTCCTGCACAACATCCATGTCTCTAAATTGGAGAGACAGATTTGACAGATGGGTCACTCAGTGGATAAGGAATTGGCTGGATAGTTGCACTCAAAGAGTTACAGTAAATGGCTTGATGTCCAAGCGGAGGTCAGTGAGTGACAGGTGGTGTTCCTCAGGGATCAGTACTGGGGCCAGTGCTGTTTAACGTCTTTGTCAGCAACATGGGACAGTGGGATCAAGTGCACCCTCAGCGAGTTTGCTGATGACACCAAGCTGTGTGGTGTGGACGACACACTGGAGGGAAGGGGACCTTAACAGGCTTAAAGGGGTGGGCCTGTGCAAATCTCATGAAGTTCAAAAAGGCCAAGCACAAGGTCCTGCACAGCAATCCCAAACACAAGTACAGGCTGGGTGGAGAATGGATTGAGCGCAGCCCTGAGAAGAAGGACGTGGGGGTGTTGGCTGATGAGAAGCTTGAGCCAGCAATGTGCACTGGCAGCCCAGAAATCCAACCGTATCCTGGATTGCATCCAAAGAAGTGTGGCCAGCAGGTTGAGAGAGGCGATTCTGCTCTTTTGAGACCCCACCTGGAATACTGTGTTCAGCTCTGGGGCCCCCAACATAAGGACATGGACCTGTTGGAGCAAGTCCAAAGGAGGGCCACGAAAATGATCCGAGGGCTGGAGCACCTCTCCTATGAAGACAGGCTGAGAGAGCTGGGGCTGTTCAGCCTGGAGAAGAGAACACTCCAGGGAGACCTTAGAGCAGCCTTCCAGTACCTAGAGGGGGCCTGTATAAAAGCTGGAGAGAGGCTTTTTCCAAGGGCTTGTAGTGATAGGACAAGGGGTAATGGCTTTAAACTGAAAGAGGGTAGATTTAGATTAGATCTACGGAAGAAATTCTGCACTCTGAGAGTGGTGAGGCACTGGAACAGATTGCCCAGAGAAGTTGTGGCTGCCCCATCCGTGGAGGTGTTCAAGGCCAGGTTGGATGAGGCTTTGAGCAACCTGGTGTAGTGGCAGGTGTCCCTGCCCATGGCAGAGGGGCTGGAACTAGATGATCTTTAAGGTTCTTTCGAACCCAAACCATTCTACGATGGCAAATGTGCCTGTGCCCATGTCTTAACAGCTGCAGCTCACCATCCACAATACTAACTTAAGGTGGATTTGCGCCAACGGACTAACAATGAAACACAGCTAAGTAGATACAGACACCATCTCTTCTGCTGCTCTGCAAGGCAAACAAGGTATGTGGCATAAAGTAGGGTGTACAGCTGCTAAAAAGGAAGCTGCTGTAGCTAGGTCCTCCAGAGTTTATCCAGCAGAGCCCTAGGTCAAATTACTAACCAGAGAAACAAGCAAAGACACACCTACCTTTGTGCTCCCAAGGTGATCTCCAGATTTGGTCCGATAAGCATTTAAATAATCATGTACTACAGCTGTTAGGTCAGACATCAAGTTATCCATTAGAGATGAGTGGAGCAGCAGAAGGTACACAGCCTTCTGTGCAAATGATTTAAGCAGAGAAGCTGGAAAGGGTCTCAAGAACCATATCTCAGGATTCTCCTGTGTATCCCAATACAAATGAAAACAGTTATTTAAGTAGCAAAAATTATTTACAAAGCTTTTCATCACATTCTTCTGCAGTTTACAACATATCTCCTGATGCTGGTCTCTATTTTCAGCACTATTGAATGCTTGCAGCTTCTAAGGCCATCTGTGTACAAACCTCTGGATGTTAGAGAAGAGGGAGTTTGGGAGGAGGGACTGCTTTTTAAAAACAAACATACAAATCCCCAAACCCCCCCCCAAACCAAAAACCAACACATGCTTATTCCAGCATTTAATGCTAGGTTCAATCTCACCCATTCCTGAAACTAGGGTGGATTCCTAAGAGCTGAGTTGAAATATCTACAGGGAAAAAAAACCCTTCCCATCAAGGGAGCCAGAGAAGCAGCTGGGGATAGTTAACATCTTCAGTCTTCACAAGTGGAATCAGAAGAACATGAAAATAAGCCCCAGTTAAGCAGCATGACAACGATACCCTGAGCAAAACGTTCCCTACAGCATGGCTTACACTGGTATACTTACTACATACAGATTACACAGTCATTTTCCACTTTTAGTCTTCAGACTAGGAGGATTTGGTCTGGTAAACTAAGAAAGGCATGTTGTCATTTGGCTTACATTTGCCATACAGAATTCTCTAAATAGAAGTTTTGAGAGACACTATTAGAATTTCAAAACTGACATAAAAATAAAGCTGTGTTTAAATTAGAGGTTTCACTGAGTAGCTATTGCAGCAGTATCAAATAACATTTAATCCAGGCTTTTGAGAGATTTTAAGTCTATGAACAGGCAGTGCAAAACTACTCAGATTTACTCAGGAAGTTACAAGACCAGTATGAAGGGAGAAAAAACACTCTGGTAGGAAAGAGATTGTTCCTATTCAGTAAAGAAATCCTGCCTATATAGTGAAGTCTCATTAAGTATCTAGTTTTATTATATTTATTTACTTCTTTAGAAGCCTTTCCCTGACCTGAAAAAGCACAGCTAGATGATTACAAACCCAGCAAAAAGATGCCACAACTGGCACTAGCATGTTTATATACTATTTGTTTAACTAATTTGATATCCTTCTATGATAACGTCACCCATTTAGTGGATGAACAGAAGGCAGTGGATGTAGTTTTTTTGGATTTTAGTAAGGATTTTGATACTGTCCCTCACAGCATCCTTCTGGACAAATTGTCCAATTGTAGGATGAGCAGGTTCACTGTGCACTGGGTGAAGAACAGGCTGAGCTTAAAGGGTTGTACTGAATGGGGCTACATCTGGCTGGTGACTGGTGACCAGCAGTGTTCCTCAGGGTTCAATTTTACGGCCAGTTCTGTTCAATATATTTTTGAATGATCTGGAAGCAGGTGTTGAATGCACCATTAGCAAGCTTGCTGATGATACCAAACTGGGAGATGCTGTTGACCCTCCTGAGGGTCAAGATGCCTTGCAGAGGGTTCTAGATAGATTCAAGTGTTGGGCTATGATTAATGGGATGAAATTTAACAAGTTGAAATGCCAGATTCTGCACCTAGGATGGAGTAACACTGGGCACAAGTATAAATTGGGAGAGGAATGGCTGGAGAGTCACCCTGCAGAAAGGGATCTGGGGATGCTGGTCAGCAGCAGGCTCAATATGATTCAGCAGTGTGCCCTGGCAGCCAAGCGGCAAACCACATCACGGAGTCCATCAAACACAGCAAAACCAGCCGGTCAAGAGAGGCAATTGTCCTGCTGTATTCAGCACTGGTGCAGCTTCACCTTGAATACTGTGTGCAGTTCTGGGCCCCACAATTTAAGAAAGATGTGAAGGTCCTTGAATGCGTCCAGAGAAGGGCAAAGCTGGTAAAAGAGCTGGAAGGAATGTCCTGTGAGAAGCAGCTAAGGACTTTGGGCTTGTCTAGTTTGGAGAAAAGGAGGCTGAGGGGAGACTTTATTGCTCTCTACAACTTTCTGAGGAAGGGAAGTGTAGAGGGAGGTGCTGGTCTCTTCTTCCTGGTATCCAGTGATAGGATGTGTGGGAACGGTTGAAAGCTGCGCCAGGGAAGGTTGAGACTGGACATAGGAAGCTTTTCTTTACCAACAAGGTGGTCAAACACTGGAACAAGCCTGTCAGTGTTTAAGCGGCATCTGGACAATGCCCTTAACAGTATGCTTTAACTTGGTCAGCCCTGAACTGGTCAGGCAGTTGGACTACATGATCATTGCAGGTCCCTTACAACTGAAATACTCTATTCTGTTCTATTCTATTTATCAAGCTTATGTTCTGCAAATCCTAGGAGCTTCTGGCCCATTAAGTTTTCCCTTGTTTGTCTCCATCTGAAAGATTGACAAAAAAAAGGACAATAGAGAATAACAATTTGAAAAATGCTGCTGAACTGCACAAGCAAGAAAAAAAAGAAATCACTACTCATTTTTTCATTCTAATACTGCAATATTTTTTCATTCTGCTACTGCAGAATTTCATTCTAATACTGCAATAGAATTTTTCATTCTAATAGCAATAAAAGTTTCCTCTTTCC